GGAGAATCTCTTGAACCAGGGAAACAGAGGCTGCAGTGAGCTAAGATCATGCAGTTGCATTCCAGCCTGGGCAGCAAGAGTGAAACTCTGTCTCAAACAAAAAAACCATGACAGTGAGTTCAGGTCTTTATTCTTCCTGATCCCAATGGCAGGTGGGAGAAGGGACCCATGGAGAGTCCAAGAGAGGGGGGTGGGTCTGTCGGGGGTCTGGGGAGAGGTCCAGGAGGAGAGTGCGAGGTTACTGGGAGGAGCTGCGCCTGCTGGGTGGTCTTGAGACAAGAATGTAAGGAGATGCGCTCAGGGCAGCCGCTCATGCGTTTTCAGACACCAGGCAGCGTGCTGCCTTCACCTGCCCCTCTCCGCCTGCTCCCCTCAGCTGGGCTGTTATCAAGGAGGGTGGCTTTTTCATTTGGCATCTTTTCTGCATCTTCAGCTGCCCATGTCCTAGGGCTCCAGCGGGGTTAGCAAGTGGGGAGGAGTCGGGGGATGGAGCCGGGGGAGGTGAAGGCTGTGGCTTTGCTTCTTTCAGACATCTATTGCGTATAAGAAACCACTCCAAAGCACGATAGCTTAGAACAGCAGCCATTTTATTTACTCAAGATTCTGCAACCAAAGCTGGGATGGGCTGGTTGGTTCTGCTGGGTGTGTCGTGGGCACTCATGGGCATGAAGCTGGTGGCGTAGCTGGGGTCTGGAATCCGCTGGGCTATTGGGAGGTTGAACTTTTCTTTCTCTTTGTAGTCTTAGAATTGGCATTGAACCACTTCTGCATTGCACAGATTAAAGTCACAGGCCAGCCCAGATTCAAGAGGAGCACAAATACAAGGGCATAAATCCCCAGAGGCATGGATTCACTGGAGTCTGGAATATAAAGGCTATCACAGAAGGCGGCATATATGTGAATAAAGGCCCTGCCCTTCAGCAGGGATCTCTAGGGATCTAGAGATCTCAGAATCTTGCCTCTAGCATCATGGGCTTAATGACTGTTGTATCAACCCACCGCCTTAAAAACATTTTTTTAGGGTATAACACATTTAGAGAGCATGCCCAGGTGCCCCTCACACCCCATTAGTTAGTAAATGCCCCACTCCTGCATCCAACCCAGACATCTCACCTGATCTCTACCCCTGATCACGCTCTTGGTGTCCTGAGTTCTTGCCTATCTAGGAGGGGCTTTAGACAACAATCATCGCTTTAAGCCAAAGGGAAATGGTGGAATTGCAGGCAGAGACTGAGGCTATCAGGGAGAGTAAGAAGAGTGGAAGGTTTTCTCTCCATCTCTCAAATCACAGCAGGTCAGTGGCTGCCGTCTGTGACTGCCAGGCCTGGGGAAACAGTGGCAAACCTGCCTCAGGAAAGGGATGTGAGGACATTTCCTAAGCACTGTGTCTTTAAGACTGTTGGGCCAGAAGGCGGCTGTGTGGCTGGGCGGTGTGGAAATGTACCGGGGCACAGGGCAGGACGTCTTTTTCAACAAATTCCTAAACGTAACAACTTCCATGATATCACCCGCTGGGAGCTGACGGCCACCGAAGGAACCCTGCTTGAGAATATTTTGAGCCACAGAAGGCTTATAAGTTTGACTAAAAGAAGAATGTTCAAAAGAAAGAGAAACAGTATGATTTCTATGAACATTATCACACACAGGGCACTGCTCTAAGGGTTGTAGGTGCCTTGGCTTATTTTCCACAGTTGCCCTGTGAGGTAGCTACTAGGCCTCCATTTACAGATGTGGAGCTGAGGCTGAACAAGGCGCTGAGCGGCTCACCCCGGGACACCCAGCTGCCAGTGGCAGGACTGGGCTTGAGCCCAGGCAGCCTCCCTTTGAAGCCTATGCCTTGGCTGCGAGTTACACTGCCCTAAGGAGTCCCTGCCTCAGGCCCTCACCTGATTAGGGAACCTGGCCTTTTTCAGCCAAAAGCAGGGCTCTTAGCCTTTCTTGGCCTGAGCAGGAGGGCTGGCACTTCCATTCATCACTTCGCTTTGAAAAAGTTGCTGTTTCTTTAACTCAGCGAATTAGAAAATTGTTCCTGAGTTGCTACTTCTGGTATCAGATCAGTTTCTCTTTTTCTGTGTCTTCCTGTATCATATATATAATTATTTCTGTGTCTTCCTGTATCACTTATATAATTATTAACATATTACATGTACATGTGTGCATACATCAAGAAACATGGCAGGGCACAGTGGTTCACTCATGTAATCCCAACACTTTGAAAGGCTGAGGTGAGAGGATTTCTTGAGCTCAGGAGTTCAAGACCAGCCTGGGCAACAAAACGAGACCCTGTCTCCTAAAAATTAAAAAATTAACTGAGCACAGTGATGCATGCCTATAGTCCCAGCTATTGGGAGGCTGAGGCAGGAGGCTTGCTTGTGCATGGGAGATTGGCTACAGTGAGCTATGATCACGCCACTGCATTCTAGCCTGGGTGACAGAATGAGACAAGAAGAAAGAAGGAAAGAAGGAAGGAAGGAAAGAAGGAGGGTAGAAAGGAAGGAAGGAAAGAGAACGAAAGAAGGAAGGAAAGAAAGAGGAGGGAGGGAGGGAGGGAAGGAAAAGAAAAAAGAAACATAAATGTGTTTGTACCTCCAAGCAGAGTAGTTTGACTATTTAATGGATATGCGAAAGAAAATAATAAATAACTTTGAGAATTAAAAAATAAACACAGGAGGAATTTCCCTCCAAGCTCCACAAACACAATAATCCTTGTAGACAGAACCACTAGTACTTAAATAAATAAAGAGAAGAATAAACACAGGGCATGTGACTTAACTGGATAGACATTTGCTGCCGTTAGAAGCTGAGCTATGGACTGACATTGGGTATTGATGCACAGAGCAAGTATAATTGCAATTAGCTACTAGTGAACACTGGGCATTGACAATATACAGTGGACATTACTTCCAAAAGACGTTTTCCCTTTGTGGATGTTGGTCATTGGTGGAGGCTGTTATTCATAAACATTAGATATCAACCGACATTTGCATCCTGCTGAACGTTAGCCAACAAGGAACACTCAACATTGATGGGCAAGGTCCTATTAGCCTATGGGCAGTGTGGGGGAGAGGGAGGTCAGGGTGAGGCCCGGGTCCCACAGTCCGGCTTGTTCTCACCTCCCCCACATTCCCTGGGACTGGAGAGGCTTCAGATGCAGGTAGGGCTCACGGTACTTTCACCCAATGAGCCAGTGTCTTCCTAAGTCCCCGCATGCGCTTGCGGAAGGAGTCCTTGCGGGAGCGCAGTGAACAAAAGGCCTTAAAGACAGGGCCAAAGCGTGCGGAAGGCTGCGAAGGCCGAGGGCGCCTCCTCGGGAATGAGCTCTGGGGCAGCTCACCTCCGCCCGAGGTCAGCTTCCTCCTCTGCAAAACGGGGCAGGGTGAAGACCCAGTGAAAGCACAGGCGCGGATGCCACCAAGCTGCGTGGGCTCGTCCTTCCCGGTGGGGAACCTGCACCCGCAGCCCCGGCCTCCCGCCAGCCAGGAGAGCGGAAACCCCAACCGGCCTCGGCGACCCGGGATTCCGCGCGGCCCCCCTCTCCCAGTGCAGAGGCTCCCGGCCCGCAGCGCCACCTCGTGGTCGCGTATGGCCAGACACCCCGGGTCCCAGCGGAGCCGGTAGCCAGGCGCGGCTGGAGGCCAAAGTGGGCTTCGCTGTTTGCTTCCTGCGGCCAGTCCCTCCCTGCCCGCCAGACTACCCTCGCCCTGCCCGACTCCGCCCTCCAGGAACCCTGACGCCCCGGGTGAGGACCTTCGAATCTTACGCAATCACGAAAATTAGTGCAAAGAATCCGTTTTGGAATTCACAGAAAAGAGTTGAAACCTTGGATTCATCACTAACCAATTGTGTGATTTTGGCTAGTTCACTTTACCTCTCTGAGCCTGGAAAATAGGGATGAAAATATCTCCCTCAAGGCCCGCCCGATGGCTCATGCCTGTACTTCCAGCACTTTGGGAGGCTGAGGCAGGAGGATCACTTGGGCTCAAGAATTCAAGACCAAGAGCAAGAGCAACCTGGGCAACATAATTTAAAAATTAAAAAATTAACTGGGCATGGTGGTGCCTCTAGTCCCAGCTACTCGGGAGGCTAAGGTGGGAAGATGGCTTGGGCTGGGAGGTTGAGGCTGCAGTGAGCCAAGATTGTGCCACTACACTCCAGCCTCCAGCCTGGGGGACAGAGCTAGACCCTATCAAAAAAAAAAAAGAAAGAAAGAAAGAAAAAGGAAGAAATGAAAGAAAGAGAAACAGAAAATAGAAACTCTCTCCCTCCCCAGGACTGTATGAAGAAGAAACGAGCATTCCTAGAGAACCGAGTTACTGTGCATGGCACAAGATGGCCGCCTGGAAGTGCTGACCTCCCTCTCCCTGACACCGCCCAGGGCCACCCTGAGCTCTTTTCCACCTTGAGTGCTGGGTGCCAGCCTAGGTTGATACTTCTCCCTGGGGAGGCCTGATTACAAAATGGGCAAGCTCCCCACCAGTGCCTATGGCCTGAATGTTCTGGGCACAGAGGAGGTATCAGGAAAAGCCTGTCGTGGGTGATGACAGCAGACATTCCCTGTGGACTGGCCAGTTAGGAGGAGGAACTTGGTGACAGCGGTGCCACCCAGATGAGCTCCAAGTGTGATCTGTCAGAGGAAGTGTGCAGACAGGAGCTGGGGAACCATAGCAGCTGAAATGTCAGGGAGGGAAGGAGGCTGAGAGACAGGGGTGAGGGCCAGGGCAAGGCCCCATGCTAACGCCTGAGCAAGAGAACAGGGGTGCAAGGGCCTGCCTGGCAAGCTCATGGCTATGGCTGGAGTGGGGGGGGCAGGAACAGTGGCACAGGGTGGGGGGAGATGAAAGAGGTGAGCAGGATGCAGGAACTCCCTCCCTTATCTCACCTTACTCCCCAAATCCTGAGATTATCAGACTTTTCGGGGAAGCTGCCCAGGGCAGGGCCTCACCTGATTCATCTTTGTGGTCCCAGAGCCCGGCCCAGGGATTGCCAGTGGACATTAGTTGAGTGAAGCAAAGAACTCTTTATAGTATTTATTAAGTCAAGGACCAGTCAGACAGATGCTGGGCTAGGCAGGTGGGAGAAGACAGAGCTCACTGCCCTGTGGGGTCTCTGTGGGGCCAGCCCCTGATGCCCACGAGGCTACTGATGCCCAGCTTCCCCCAACACCACCAACACAGGCCCAGGACGATATTACAAAAGTGAACAAATGCAACCTTTTTCTTCTTTTACAAATGACATGTCTCCATCTCCTGCCAGCAGGGGTGGGGGATGCGGGTTGAAAGTGACAGTCCATTAAAAAGGCAACAACTTTTATAAAATGAAGACTAAGCAAAGAGCCCAGGGCTGGGAAGCTGAGATGCTACCCTGGGAGTAGAGAACATGGGTGGGGGAGACCCTGCCTCCTTTCACGGCATTCCTGGGAGGGTAAGAAGGGCTGTCGCCAGTGGGGACTGAATCCAGGAGGCCCGTCAGAGCTCCTGGCCAGGTACTTTCCGGAACTGCGGCAGCTCCTTGGGGGAGCATCTCGAGGATACTCGGGAAAACGGGTAGGTTTCCAGTCTGGATGCTGGGGGACCCCAACCCAGGGTGAGAAACTGGCTAGGCTGGATCTGATGTGCCCTAAGCTACCAGAGGCACCAAAGGAGAGTGACTTAGCCCATGCCACACAGCTGGTCGCCAGGCCCAGAATCCCACTGGTGGGGCTCTTGCCTGTCCTGCTGCTGCTACTCCTGGGCTAATGGGGAAAGGGCAAGGGCAGCAAGAGGAGCCCAGGTGAGGAGGGGAGGGCTTATTAGAGGAGACAAGAAAGTGCAATGGGCTGGGACTGGGAGGAAGGAGGCTGTGCTCCAGTCATGCCACTGCCCCATAAGAACTCATATTAGACTTTTTCCTTCTCGAGGCCTCAGTTTCCCCATCTGTCACATGAGGAGGGTGGACTTGATTCTTTGCAATTTCTTCTACCATAAGGTTCCAGGGAAATAGAAAAGGATGAAGTGGGCCTCATGAGGGGCCCATGGCAAAGAAAGGGCTGTGTCAGAAAAGAAACTCATGCCCCTGAGTGACCGGGCCATGGGCCCAAGGGGACACTCAGCCCAGTGGACCTGAACTCTGCCCTGCAGTGGGGGGTCTTACCCACCCTCTGCCTGTCGAGGGTCAGGCTGGCCCAGGCATGAGGGAAGGCACTTGGGGGATAAGTGAGGAAGGGAAGCAGGAGGGGACCAGAGTCTGGTTTGGCATTGAAGTCCCTCTGCTCATGGTTTGGGGGAGCAACGTAGACAAAGGGGCGAGACTTTGTTCCTGGGTGTGAGTCCCAGGTCCAAAGTCTCTCCTCGGTCCATGACTCCTGCGCTGACGCCACCACATAGGCCTGTGGGCTCCCCACTTGTGTCGGCACATTGAACTTAAGTTACTCTGGACCTGAGGCAGCCCAGGACAGCAGTCTGTTACGTGGCCCCAGGCCACACCATTCGTCACAAGATGTTGGGGCCCTTGGCAGCAGATTCCCGGGTGTCTACGCAGTGCAAGGTCACCTTGGGGCTGGAGCCAGGCCTCCGGGGGTAGGCACCCTCCCGTACCACGCGCCGGCACCGCACATCCTGGCTCACACTGATGCTCTGCAGTGCCGGGAGGCGGAGGAGCAACGCCTCAGGCAGGGGGACCAGGTTTGTATCCGAAAGGTCCAGCTCCTGGAGGGAGCCCAGGCCTGAGAACACATCAGCTCCTGCCCAGTTGAGCTTGGGGTTGCCTGACAGGTCCAGGACCTGCAGGCCTGGAAGCTCCTGGAAGCCATAGGGCGCCAACTCGGGGAGCCCCTGCAGGCTGGCCAGAGACAGGTGTGTAAGGCCTGCCAGCCCCGCAAAGGCACCCGGACCAAGGACAGCCAGAGGGTTCCCATCCAGGCTCAGGTAGCGCAGGGGCAAGTCTCGGAGGTTGGGTACTGCATGGAGCTGGTTCCAGGACAGGTTCAGGCTCTGAATGGTAGGCATGGGCAGGCCGGCACTCCTGGGGTGGGGCACGAGGCGGTGAATGAGGTTGTGGGAGAGGTCCACATGTAATGCCCGGCCCTGACTGTGGGTCGTGAAGGCGGACACTGAGACCTCCCGGAGCCAGTTGTGGCTAAGGTTCACGTCGCTCAGGGGTGAGCTGGTGAAGCTCTCAGCTGGCAGGGCCGTCAGGCCATTGTGGCTGAGGTCCAGTGACTCCAGGTAGCGAAGGCGGGAGAAGGCAGTGGGTGAGATGCTGGTGAGCAGGTTGTGGCTGAGATCCAGGCCAGCCAGCGTCGTGTAGCCCGGCCCCGCCAACACTGACTCGTTCACCATCTCCAGCCGGTTAGAGGACAGGTCCAGGTGGGCTGTGTCCAGAGGAATGGGCACCGGCACGATGTGGGGGCCCAGGCCGCTGCAATCCACCCGAGTCAGGCTGAAGCTGTCGAAAAGGCCGAAGGTCTCCACCTCGCACTGGCACCCGGGAAAGCATGGCCGTGTTGTCTGGGCCCTACTCACGGCCAGCAGCAGCAGCAGCAGCAGGGGCCACGGCATGGTGGGGGCTAGAAAGAGAGCCACAAATGAGGACTGAATGCACCAGAAAGTCTAAACCCACCTTACAGGACATGAGCCCAGACATGAGCTCAGTCTAGATACCGCTGGAAGATGTCACAGTCCCTGACCTCCTGGAATGCTTCCTGAACACTCCTCCCCAGAGTTCCTAGTCCCCATGCCTCTCTGGCCTCTGCCTCTCCATCTGGTAATGAGAGTGAGGCCAGGTGGTGAATTTTCAACTAGAAGCAGCAGATGAAGGCAGGCCTGGTCTGGCTGAAGTGAGGAGGACCTACAGCCCTCTACTTCTGCCCACTATCCCTGCCTAGGGTGTTAGGAACCCAGTATGAAACCCACTGGTCTAGATGGTTTTTCAGGCTGGCCTCTCCAGCTCTGATAGTCCAGAGTCTCTGGGTTGGTTTGGACCCAGGCCCCGGGGGAGAAGCTTGTCCACAGGGCTGAGGGTAGGGTGTGCCCAGGTGCCCGTTGTCTGCTGAGCAAGTGTTATGCATCGGCCGCTGTTCTGGCTGCCCCACAGCACGGTTGCATCTGACCCTCACAACCACCTTGCCAGGCAGAAAATTCTCTCTTTGTTTTACCAAGAGGGACTGGGCCTTGGGTTAAGATACTTTTGCACAGCCACACAGCCAAGTGGAGTGGCACTCAAGGGGATACTGACAGAGAAAGCATGACCCACTGCTGTGGTCTGGCCAGGGCTAAGCCAGGCCTGAGACCCACACTCCAGCCTTCAAGACCAAGGCTCTCTCCCTGCAATGGGGCCTGCAGTGACTGCCCCCTTGCACCCCTACTCCACCGGCCCCATCCCCCTAGCCTGTTGTCCAGAGGCAGGATCTTCCCTTCTCATCGGGCACCCTGGTGTCCAACCTGGGTATCTAGACTCCCAGATGGGTTCTGGGGACACGTGTCCCGAGCCCCTTTCCCCCTTACCTTGCCCCTTGCCCACAGATTAAGCTACGACACCTCTTTGGTGCTTCCTTTAACCTTAGGCAGGCAGTTAGGCTGTTTCTCTCATTATGCAGATGAAGAAACAGAGGATCAGAGAGAAAAAGGGCTTTACCCCAAACTAGTAAAATGCAGGGCAGGAATGGGACCCAGGCCTGGCACACTCCAATTCCTCTATTCACATGTGTTGCCTCCAGCGGGACTGGAAAAGTAGCTGGTGGAGAGGCCGGAGGGGCTTTTCCCACTGGCACATGCTATGGCGTGAGCCATTTTCCCTCCCCAGATCTGTCTCCCTCTGTACAATTAAAATGGTGGCTGCCACAGATGCCAGGAACTACATACATGTTGTCACATCTAATGATCACGCCACCCACAGCTGTTGGATTCAAAGGCTGTGTTCACGTCCACTGTAGTTGCTGGAATGGTTGTGCTCAGTGGTGCCAGCATGAGGACAAGTTGGGCAGTGGGAGTGTCTAAGTGGACCAATTGGATAGTCTGTGGTGACTGCTGCCCTGCAAGGCATCCTGCAGCCTGGGAAACAGAAGGCACTAAGCTTCCTTCCAGCAGGGCTCTTCATCTGGGTGGCCCCGCTCTGGGCCCCCTGGCCTGCCCATCCCTCCCTCTGGCCTTCAGGAAGCGGGTGGGAGAGGGGGAGGAGATGGGCCAGGGACCTGCCCACCTTCCACACTGGAGGGTGGGTGGGGAGGGAGTAGCAGGATTGTATTACCAGCCCTGCATGAAACTTTAAAGGGCTAGCCACTTGATCTGCACTCTGGCTTTGCCCAGGGGCAGGGAAAAGTGGGGCTCTTCTCCCCTGCTCCCCTCCCCATGTGGGCCCCTCCTCTTCCACCCCTTTCTTTTGTAGCGGCCAATTTGAGGATTAAATCCAGCCCAGGTGCATCCTGGGCATGGTCCCAGCTGAGGCAGGACAGAGTGTTCCAATGTCTGGAACCAAAAGGAAAATATTAAGTTGCTTCAGGCCCCCTTTGTTCCCCTGGGTGAGTTCCTCACCGCAGGGCTCATTACCACCAAAAGCCCCACCTCCCTTGCTAAGCTGATCTGCTCATACCCACCCTTCCTGGGGTTTAAACAAATACCACAAAGGCCCCGAGATTACCCTTTGATTCCCAGAGGTGATTATACAAGGGGTCTGTGAAATGCCAAATGGCCTCTTATGAGATCCCACTTATGTAACCAGCAGCTCAAACACAGCCCAAATGCCGACCTGCCAGAGGGGACCTCTTGCTGCCCCTTTTAGGCCTCAGCCTCATCCTCTGCACTACAGGGTGGCAATTTCAACCCTGCCCTCTTCACCTAAGTTGATTAGCCCTCACTGCAAACTGTGAAGGGCTGTGCACATGTACAGGGCAGTCATCACCAAGTGGCCAGAAGATGCGGAACTGAGGCAATGGTAGTAAAGAGGCAGGAGCTACCTAGGTAACTGCCTGCAGATGCTCCCAGGGCACTGGACTAGACTCCCTGCTCAGCTCTGTACAGTGTACACCTCTCCCAGGGTCCCTGCTCTGTGCTGGGCCAGGGCTGGGCATTCGCAGTGGGAAGTGCCGACAGTGACAGTCAGGGCTAGCCCTCAATCTCTGCTAGTGCTGGACACACATGCTTTCATTCAGTCCGCACAGTCACTCTGTGAGCCAGCAGTCTCATCCCCATTTGACAGCAGAGGAACTGAGGGTTGGAAAAGGAAGGTGGCTGACCATCCTTAGCAGGAGTGACTTGTTAACACTGTGCAATTCTGGAAAGTTGTATTAGTCTGCTTTCACGCTGCTGATAAAGACATACCCAAGACTGGGCAATTTACAAAAGAAAGAGGTTTCATTGGACTTAACAGTTCCACATGGCTGGGAAAAGTCTAACAATCATGGCAGAGGGCAAAAGACATTTCTTACATGGCGGCAGCAAGAAAGAATGAAGAGGAAGCAAAAGAAACCCCTGATAAACCCATCCAATCTTGTGAGACTTACTCACTATCATGAGAATAGCTTGAGAAAGACCGGCCCCCTATGGTTCAATTACCTCCCACTGGGCCCTTCCAACAGCACGTGGGAATTCTGGGAGATGCAATTCTAGTTGAGATTTGGGTGGGGGCAGAGTCAAACCATATCATTCCACACATGTTCCCTCCCAAATCTCATGTCCTCACATTTCAAAACCAATCATGCCTTCCCAACAGTCCCCCAAGTCTTAACTCATTTCAGCATTAACCCAAAGTCCACAGTCCAATGTCTCATCTGAGACAAGTCCCTTCTGCCTATGAGCCTGTAAAATCAAAAGCAAGTTAGTTACTTCCTAGATACAATGGGGGTACAGGCATTGGGTAAATAAATACAGGCGTTCCAAATGGAAGAAATTAGCCAAAACAAAGGGGCTACAGGCCCCAGCAAGTCCAAAATCCAGCAGGGCAGCCCAATCTTAAAGTTCTAAAATGATCTCCTTTGACTCCATGTCTCGCACCTGGGTCACGCTGATGCAAGAGGTGGGTTCCCATGGTCTTGGGCAGCTCTGCCCCCGTGACTTTGCAGGGTACAGCCTCCCTCCTGGCTGCTTTCACGGGCTGGTGTTAGGTGTCTGCAGCTTTTCCAGGCACAGGGTGTGAGCTGTTGGTGGATCTGCCATTCTGGGGTCTGGATGATGGTCCTCTTTTTCTCACAGCTCCACTAGGCAGTGTCCCAATAAGGACTCTGACCCCACATATCCCTTCTGCAGTGCCCTAGCAGAGGTTCTCCATGAGGGCCCCGCCCCTGCAGCAAACTTTTGCCTGGGCATCCAGGCATTTCCATGCATCTTCTGAAATCTAGGCAGAGGTTCCTAAACCTCAATTCTTGACTTCTGTGCACCCACAGGCTCAACACCACATGAAAGCTGCCAAGTGGTATTGAGCTTTGGTTTGGGTTTGGTAAAATGAACAAAAGCTACACTTTGGATTTTGTAAAATGAACAATTATTCCCTTCTGTGGATGCTCAGAGATTGGGTCACCTGCCCAGGGCCACTGAATGATGGTTCTGGAACCTGCCAAGGCTTGGGGCTTCCACTCTCTGAAGCTATGGCCTGAGCTGTACCTTGGCCCCTTTTAGTCATGGCTGGAATATCTGGGATGCAGGACACCAAGTCCCTAGGCTGCGTGCAGCATTGAGACCCTGGGCCAGGCCCATGAAACCATTTTTTCCTCCTACGCCTCCAGGCCTGTGATGAGAAGGACTGCCCTGAAGAACTCTGACATGCCCTGGAGACATTTTCTCCCATTGTCTTGGGAATTAACATTCAGCTCCATGTGACTTATGCAAATTCCTGCAGCTGGCTTAAATGTTTCCTCAGAAAACTTGACTTTCTTTTCTAACGCATCATCAAGCTGCATATTTCCCAAACTTTTATGCTCTGCTTCCCTTATAAAACGGAATGCTTTTAACAGCACCCAGGTCACATCTTGAATGCTTTGCTGCTTAGAAATTTCTTCCACCAGATACCCTAAATCATCTCTCTCAAGTTCAAAGTTCCGTAAATCTCTAGGGCAGAGGAAAATTGCTGACAGTCTCTTTGGTAAAACATAACAAGAGTCACCTTTGTTCCAGTTCCCAAAAAGTTCGTCATTTCCATCTGAGACCACCTCAGCCTGGACTTTATTGTCCATATTGCTGTCAGCATTTTGGGCAAAGCCATTTGACAAATCTCTAGGAAGTTCCAAACTTTCCCACATTTTCCTATCTTCTTCTGAGCCCTTCAAACTGTTTCAACCTCTGCCTGTTACCCAGTTCCAAAGTTGATTCCAGATTTTCAGGTATCTTTTCAGCAACACCCACTCTACTGGTACCAATTTACTGTATTAGTTCATTTTCATGCTACTGATAAAGACATACCTGAGACTGGGCAATAAACAATAGAAAGATTTAATTGGACTTAACAGTTCTACGTGGTTGGAGAAGATCTCACAATCATGGTGGAGGACAAAAGGTATTTCTTAAATGGCGGTGGCAGGAGAGAATGAGGAGGAAGCAAAAGCTTCCTCCATTCAATTACCTCCCACTGGGTCCCTCCCACAACACATGGGAATTCTGGGAGACACAACTCAAGCTGAGATTGGGTGGGGGCACAGCCAATCCATATCAGATGTCATGGGGAGTTAAAATGGAGTTAACAATCCCTTCCTCAAGGAGTTGCGGCAAGAGCTAGAGATCACTCGTGTGAAATGCCTAGCACAGCTCCAGGACACTAACAGATGTGCAGCCAATGGTAGACGAAGCCCCCCCAGACACAGTCACCCACTACCTCCCTCCCCACACTCTGGATCACTGACAGGGAGGTGACAGTGCAACTGTGCATGGTGACGAGAGAAGTCCTACAGGACTGTCAGGAGCCCTAGGTCTCAGTGCCTGCTCTGCCATGGACTGTCCTCATCTCATCTCTGGACAAGTCTCTTCCCCTTTCTGTACCTCAGTTTCTCCAGCTTCACAGTAAGAGGTTCAGTTTAGATAATCCAACTCCAGAGTTGCAGGATTTTAAAGTTTAACAAAAGCATGGACTAAATTTCTACTAAGTATATTCAAAGCACTAGGCTAGGCCAGGGGGGAGTGAGTGTGGGGGGCAGGGGGGTTGGGATAGATAATAGGGTCCCTGTCCTCATGGGGCTTACAGACCAGCAATGAGAACAGAAGGCCAACTTAAAACAAGATCACTAACACCAGCTTTGGACCCAGGAGACTGGGGCTCTAGTCCCAGAGCTGCCACTATCTGTGTGACCTTCCCTGTTTTCTTTATTTCTTTGAGCCTTGGTTATCTGATCTGTGTAACAGTATTCACACTGCCTCCCTCTGGAACCTGTACTGTAGCTACCCCCAGGAGAAACAGAAACGAAGACAGGTAGCCACCAAAGAAGGCTGAGGGAGAAAGGGATCTTTGGACCAAGATTCAATACTTTTTTCCAAACCCTGACCTGAAGGTAAAAGATAACCACTGATTGACCAGATTATATAACACAAGAACAGGAAAACAAGGGCTTAGAAACTGCATCCATAGTGGTTTGGGGGATATACTATAAGGCCTTCCAGTGCAGGGACCATGAATCATGCATTGTTGGGCCCACAGGGCCAGGTCCACAGTGACTCTAGGTTTGCTGATGGCCTGCAAGGTCAAAGAGTAAATGGTATGGCCTCAACCGGCTCCAGGGAGGTCTCCCCAGGTGACACCATACACACTGCTATGAGACACCTCTCACACAGCTTTGGCCACATCACTCCCCTTATCAGAAACCTCTTGGGTTCTGCTTTTTACCCACAGAAATCAAGTTCTCCCATGCATGAGGCACCTGCAAGCTGTCACCACTGTCTTCTCCCCTTCCCACCTGTCCCCAGCCCCCTTTCGAGATTTGAAACTCTCCTTGATAGCCAGAATGGGAACAGCCTTCACTTTAATGGACTCTGAACAACTCTCAGCCTCTGCTAACACATCTCCAAACTTGGAGAATTCCAGGGCCTGAGACTGGAAGGCCCCTTAGGAATCATGGGCAATTGGGGCCCAGAGAGTGACAGTGACAGCACGGAATGGCAGTGATAGCAAGGAACGGCAGAGCAGGGCCCAGGACCTGGGACCTGATGCCTCACATGACTGCCAGAACTGCATGCATCCATCCCGCCTACCCCTGGCCTGCTCCCAGTAGAACAAAGCCTGTTCTGTCCACTTGGGCCCCGGGCCACCCTCGCTCCTGGCCTCTCACCCCACAGGCTACCCACAGGCCTCCTTCAGTAAATTCTCTGCCGTGAGTTACCTGCTGTTTGCCTACTTGATGTGTGAGCAGCTTGGGGCAGTGGCCTGCCTACTTCACCTCTGTGTTCTTTCCCCCACCTGGGATCAGGGCCAGGCCTAGAGGGTGCATGGAGGAAGAGCAGGATGAACGGGTCAACTGCAAGACCCAGACCAGGTGTGAACCTAGCTCTGTACCTACTAGCTTTGGGTAAGTATGTGACCTGCTCCGAGGGTCCTCAACAGGGCTAAGAACACAGGGTTGTTGAAAGGAGTAAATGACAGAATGGCAAAGATTCCATTCACTATCTGCCATACTAGTACTCAACGTGTGGCAGACAGTGACAGTGATTTGCTAAGCCTTCTGAAGGCAGTCGTCATGTGATTCTTCATGTTCCTCCCCACTCAAGTTCCCAGTGCAGCGCCAGGAGCACAGCAGGTCCAAGACTGCCTGTGCTAACATTCTCCAGGCACTTCCCTGGTGTCTGCTGGTAAAGCTTTGAACTCTCTTCTCCAAGGAGAGCTTTCTGGGTGTTGGGTTCAAGCTTGAATCCACCTGGGCCCAGCTGTCTGCCCCTGGTGCTGCACTACGGCATCTCTGGTCTGTAACATCTTGCAGCTCCCTCTGCCACCCTCGACAACTTCCACAGGGCGCTGTTGGCACAGGGCCCCAGAACCCACCTAACACCAGCCTTTGTCTCAACCAGCTGTTCCTCAACGCCACGCAGCCTCTCACCCCACTTCCCTCAGTCATGAGCTCACTCAGCTCACTCAGGCTGATGCCAAGGAAATCCCCAGGTGGACGGTTCAGAAACGTCCTGCCCTCCAACCACCTTGTCAGCTCTGGAAACGTGAGGCAGAAAGAATTTCAAGGCCAGACTCCTGGAGCCCCAAGGGCCGGCTCTTGCAACAGACCCACTAATGCAGCACATCTGGACAAACACAGCAGCCTACCATGTGCTCTCCGCCAGCATCTCACTTCTGCCTCACCATGGCCTTGACTCTGGGGATTACGTCCCTTCTTTGCAGACAAGGAAATGGATGTTATTCAGCTGGGAAGGAGAGGACCCAGGACTCAACCCCAGATGTCTTAGCTCCAAATCCACTCTGCCTTAACTTACAAATGAGTACACGAGCAAGACAGCTTAGACCTGGTCATGCTGGACTGTACTTACATGTTTACTTGTCTGACCTACTGTGGGCAGGGATGGGATTAGGTACCGTTTTATGCCCTTGGAGCTAAGCGCCGAGCCTGGTACAGAGCAGACACCCTGTAAAGATGCACCAGGCACCTAGAATACTGCCACCCCACCAAAGGACACCTCTCACCCTCTCCCTTGCTTCCTCAACTACCATCTGTTTAGTCACCCTGCAGGATCAGCAGGTTAGATGGCATCGTATCTACTTTACAGCTGTGTAAAGAAGCCCAGAGGTTTGTAAGCCCAGAGCTGTGTCAAGAAGCCCAGAGAGGTTCTGTGATCCATCCAGAGTTACATAGCCAGAGAGGACTGGGGCTGGACCCAGGACCCAGGTATTCTGACATTCAGTACCTGGCCTCCTCCATAACATGATCCCAGGGATCTGTAAGCCTAGCAACTTACCCCAGGAGGATAATCTATGGGGAGATGGGCAAGGTTCCCAATATGATTTTCTCATTCCAATGCCTTCTTCCTGAAGATTTTCAAGTTCCCAACAACCTGAGGCAGCGTACATGGACACAGGAAGAGGCGCTATGGGGCAAAGGACAGGAGTTTTGTAGCTAGGCAGTCTGGGTTCCAACTCTACAGGGCCTTCACTGCTGAGGCTTGCCTGTGCCCTCACCCCTCTGAGTCCTCATTTGTAACATGGAGATAATCCTAGTGCTGGTCCCAATGGGTCGCAGTGATGATTACATGAGGCAAAGTGAAGACCTAGACCCAGCCTGGCACACACTGGTATTCACTGAATGTTGGTTCCTGTCCCCAGTGGGTGATTTCAGGGACCAGAGGGAAAAAAAGGAGCTGTGATACCCACAAATCCTGAGGCAAGGCAGGGGCTGAAGATGGAGAGGATTCCACAATTCATCCCAGAGGCCTTGGATCCTCTCTCCTGCACCAACCAGGGTCCCAGTGTGGCTAACAAGGTGCTGACCAGCCACTCCCAAAAGACTAAGAAGGGTTAGCTGGAAAGGTCACAGAGGTCAGAGCAGGCAGAAGCTGCTGTGTTACCTGTGACAGAACGAGGGCTGAGCATGAAATCTGCAGCTCCCCCTGGGCAGGTGGGGTCACTGTCTTCCCTCTCCCTCATCCCTAAGCTGGGCAGTCCTCCACCTGTCCAGGTCGGGCTCAGGAGGCCTGCTGCAACAGCCTCACCCCTGGCCCTGCCTCCAACTGCCAGCCATGCTGGGTACCAGAATGCACTTCCCAACAGAAGACTGGAACCCTACCACAGCTCCTTCTTTAAACCCATCCCACAGAGACAGCTTTCTAGTCCAGAGGCCTGACTCTTCTAGAGCCACCTGCCTTTTTGCACAGGCTGTTCCCTCTGATGAAAACAAAGATACCCTCTGTCTACCAGCAAACTCTCGCATGTTTGATTAAAAAAGCCACCTCTTCTGTGAGGTTTTCCCAGTCCAATCTGCCCCTCATCCAGGAAAGGCCACCCACACTGTGAGCTCCCATGGCTCTTGGGCTGCCCCTGTCAAGGTACTGGCCCACTTCTGTGGCCATTTATGTATCTGTGTCTACCTCCTTGCCTGCATGAGGCCTGGCCACATGAAGGGGAGAAGTCAGATCAATGAAATGTCATGGACAGAAGCGTCCTTCTGCTTTGTGGGAAACATAACAATTGGTGCAATCTTGCAGGATGCTTAGGGCTCTGCCCACTGGTGAAATCAGGTTTAGGACCAGAGTCAAAGCTGTCCCTGCCTTCTATTGTTCGTGCAATCCAACGAATGTTGGCACAATGTAACACACACTACAAACCACTTTTCATTTATTTGCACATGTAATTCATTATCTTATTTAATGCACCAGATCAGTGAAGCAGGAATTACTATCCTCACATTTTAAGTAAATTACTTGTCCCAGGCCACAGAGGTAGGAAGCAGCAGAGTGAGTGTAAAATCCAGGTCCTTTTGACTCTAAGAGGCTGGAGCACTCAGCCTCTAGATTGGTCTCAGCCTCCAGCACCACCCACAAGCCAGAGAAGGGTTTCATAAATCACCAACCCCACCCTGCTGGGCCTGTTTAAACCCTCCAGGAGCTCTCCATTGCCTACAGGCTCAAATATAGCTTCTCAGCCTGGCATTCAAGGCCTTGGTGATTTGGCCTCTGCCTTCCTTCCCAGCCTCAAGTTCAATTCCAATTCACCACCCTCAAGACCTTGCATCTGACAATCCACCATGCTGACCACCTATGCTGTTTTCATGCATAGGTCCTGCAAATGCTGCTCCTCTTGTGGGAGACGCTTCCTGTCTCCCCTGTGTACCACTGACTTCAAAACCGTGAGCAGGAGTAACCTCCGGTCAGGCCCCTCCATCTGCGATTATTCCCACAGAACCTCTCTTAGGACTTGTTTCCACCAGGGGACTTTCAGGGAGGACCCAGCCCTCTTTAGGAATTATCCTTAGTGCCCAAGCCAGCTTTGCTCTTCAAAAGGATGCAAGAACTCTTAAGTGCATCCCCTGTGTTGACCCAGGAGTTATGATTAAGAAGAAATCTAATTTGGACTCTACCATCCACAAACTGTCATTTAAAAGGTAAGAGGAGAAAAGGTCAACCCCCTCCCTTCACTCCATTTTTGACTCATTTATTAGCTTTTGTCTTTCAACCTGATGCTGGAGGAAGGGTAAGTGGAAGGCTGGTGGTCGATGGCCCTTGCAGCTTTCCTGGGAAGCAAAGTAGTGCCTCGGAATAGGTCAGGTCAGAATGGGGGTGTAGGTTAAACATCAAAGTGTTTCTAGGTTCTGGGATCTGAAGCAGTCAGCAGAACAGGAGAGGCTATTAATACCTCCCCTACCAGAAGGGAAACTGAGGCCAGAGAGGGAAAGGAAAATGCCCACGGCTTTTGCTTTCCCAGGTTAGCGGCCTGTGCCCTCCCATCATGTCTGCAGCATCCGACAAAGTTCTAGGTTAAAGACTGGAGTGAGCGGTGGGGAAGAGGGTGTTTAGGGTTATCTCTGCGACTTAGGCTCAAAAGTTCAGTAGGCTCCTGACGCTCTCCGCCCCTCCTTTCCCGTCAGTCCGGCGCTGCAAGTCTAGACTTATCCGAAGGGCAGAGCGCACAAGGATGAAAAAAGGATCGAAGGTCCTGAGTCACCTCCTCGACGACCCTAGCGTGGGCGGGTGCTGCTCTCCGCCCGGCTCCAGCAGCGTTGGTAATTCCCATCGCACACCCCGAGCCGTGAGGGAGTTCTGGCCCTGTCAGTACCAGAGTGACCGCGCCTCTGCAAAGCTGAGCAACTTGCCAGCGCCGTGCAGTGGGCCAGTGGCCGTCCCAGTTGAAACCTAAGTGTGCAAGGCTCCCACTGTCCCCAGCTCCCACTGCGAGCCGAAGCCGCGGGCATGCCCAGATCTGGACTGGCGGTTGCCCTCTCACCTACCACGTCAAAGGGCTGGTCCCCCTACTCTGGGGGTGGGCTGCAAACGGAGAGCGGGTCTCAAAGCGGGGCCGGTCTCCCCAACTAACAGACATATCTCTCTGGGTCACACTCTTTCCAAGAAGCGCAGGGAGGGCAGCGCCAGCCGCCCAGTCCCTTCCTCTCTTCAACCCCGAGCCCGGGACCCCATCGCTCACCTCCTCCTTCCCGCGGGGATCTGCGGGGGAGTCCGCACTCTCTGCCCAGCCCCGGCCTGGCCCGGCCCGGCCCGGCCAGTCCCCAGGCGCTGCCGATCCCTGGACCACCAATCCCATTGCAGCCCCTCGCGGTCGTGGGACCTCAGGAGGGAGAGGGGGAGGGGGAGGACGAGGGAAGGCCTGCCTGCGCCCCCGGCCGAGCTGCGGTGGGGAGGACGGGGGCTGTTGCCCGAGGAACCGGGAGAAAAGTTTGGAGCCAAGTCAGGGGCCCGGGTGGACAGCGGGGTAGCGGGGAGGTGGGGGCGGCGTCAGCCTCTCGGCGCGCACACCCTCCGCGGACACCCAGCCCAGACACGTCGGCAGGCACCGACCACGTACGCGGACACAAGGGATGCGCCCACTGACACCCTCAGCCAAACGCAGACCCGCAAACGTGGACACGGGTGCCGAGCAGCCACGCAAAGCCACGGACACACAAAGGCACCGGCAGCGGCGCGTCCCCGACCGCAAATCCACAAAGACCCACAAACGTGAGATGCACGTGTCCGCACAAAGACCCCAGGGGCGCCGGCCCGCGCGCCCACCGCCCGGGAGCGGAGCCTTTGTCTCCCGAACGCCCTCTCCCCTGGGTCGGCGTTCCCCGCTCCCGCCCAGCCCCAGGCGTCCGGCGAAAGTTGAGGGGCCTCGGCGGGACCCAGCCCCGCCCCTGCGCTCGGCGCCCCCGCCCGCTAAAGGGGCGGCGAGGACGAGGTCGAGGCTCGGGACCTTCGCCCACAGCGCGGACTCCCGCGCCGCCGGGGGACCCGCACCCACCTGGAAGCCGGCGCCGCCACCGCCTCGGCACGCTCACCCCGGCGGCCCGGCCGCGGGCCCTCAGGCCGGCGCTTTTCTCCGCTCGGCGCGGCCCGCCCCCTGGTCCCCGCCCGCAGCCGGGCTCCCCCCCTGCCCGGGCGCCGGGTGGCGGCCAGGGCCGGCCGCGGGGCGGCTCAGGGAATGTCGCCAAAGTGCCAGCCTCTCTCAGAGCGCGCCCCGCCCGCGGAGCCCGCGCGGAGCCCGGGTTCCACCCTAGGGAGCGTCTCAAAAGTGCGTAGCTCCCGCCCCCTCCAGTCGGCTTTGCTCGCAGCTTCCTGCATCCCGGATCCTTGCCCCCTCCCCCTGCGCGCCCCAGCAATCTAAGCAGATGGCCGCACGGTCGGAACATCTGGAAGTCGCCGGAGTACATGTGTGTGGAGAAAGAGAGGGAATTAGTTGCTAGTAAGAAAGAGATTGGGTGGGTGGGTGAGGGTTTCCTCTTTGCTTGTTCACCGCCCCTCCTCATTTTTTTTTTTTTTTTTTTTTTTAAAGAATGAAAGAGGTTCAGGGACGACAGTGAGCCAGAAACCAAGAATCTGAAGCAGAGAAAGGCTTGGTGAAAGACGAATCCACGGAGAAGAGAGAGCCCGGCTCAGGCAGAAAGGCTGGCAGGAGAGGAGAGAGAAAGTCAACAGATCTGAGTTTTTCTTTTATGGAGCGAACCATTGACTTCTGGTTAGAGTTCTAAGAAGGGAAACTGGCGAGTGAGTAGGCAGCAGATTCAGTCTATTCCCCCTGCTGCAGCTCCTCGGTTCTAACCCCTCTTTATGCTAAAAAGGGCAGGAAAGCATCCAAGACACTTTAAAAGGAGGGTTTGCAGGAGAAATGACCTGGTGGATGCATTCCCTAGGAGGAGAGAGTTGGGTGGGTGTGTGGCTTCCAGTCTACACACCCAGACAATACCTACCTTGGGAGGGGCAGTTCACAGGTGGAGGAGTTCATAGAGGCTTTGGTCTTGGGCCCTGGACCTCCCTGGAGCTTCTCCAAGACTTCGGAGAGGGCCCCAGGGTGCAGAGATTGGGCAGTGTCACCCTCTGCAGTGGCTCGGACTTGTCAACACACCCCGTCTGTTTGGTTTTTCTTTCCTTATTACTTTTTTTTATTCATAGAAAAAAAGGAGTTGCTTGGGTCTGTGTGTGCATGCACATTTGTGTACCTTGGGAAGAAGGAAAACACTAGGGAGATGGTGAGGTAGGAGTAGAGGCCATTACCCCAGGCCTCAGGGCAGCAAAATCAAATCTGCTGCCCAGAAAACAAACTGGTCTTGCAGGTCCTCCCTGCACTCAGAGCCATTTTATGGTCTTGGAAATGCCCTTGGGCTGAGACCTGTGAACCCTGCCAGTTAGGGAGGTGCAGAGAAAAGGCTGGGAGTCTGGTCTATTATGCTTGGAGGCAGGGAGAGCTCCCCTCCCTCCTCTCCATTCATCGTCCTCTCCTGATTAGAATCCCAGCTTCCACAACTAGGAGGCCTGCTGTGATCATCTAGCTCAGACTCCTCATGAGTCTTTGAGATAGCACCATGGGCCATTTGGCATCCAGTGTCTTCCTCACTGTTGGGCTTAAAAGGGCTGCAGGGACTCCACTCCACACCCTCTGGGGCCCATAGGGAGGAGCCAGACCCCTCCCATTTCCCACTCTCCCATTCCCTCCCCTCTCTAAAGGTCCCCCTTCCCCCACCCTTGATGGAAGAGAGACCTGCAATCAGCATCCGGTGAGGGCCAAGCTTGGACAGGATTCATGTTCCAGCCCTGTTACTTACCAGCTCTGGGTAACTTTAGGCAAGTTACCTAACCTCTCTGAGACTCAGTTTCTGCAACTATAGAAGAGGTTGTTGTGAGGAATAAACAAGGTAATTTAGGTGAAGCATTATTCTGGCTCACAGGAAGCTTCTTTGTGCGGCTGCTAAAGGTCTTCCATCAGGGATTGGGTAGAAGTTAGAAAGCCCAGCAGGCTTGGGAGGGGAGGGTGCCTGGGAATGACCTCCAGACTCTCTGGCTTGTCTAGCTTGTATTCTTGCTGCTTCCACCCCTCCCATAGGGGGACATTCTTTTGAAGGAATGGCATCCCCACCTTGCTCTGGAGGAAGGATTTCCATCCTCCGCTCCATGTGGAATTGTTTAGTGAGTCTCAAGTTCAGCATCTGAGACCTGGAGGTGAAAGGACCCATTTCCTGGGAACTCAGGGATGCTAACTCCCACTGCATTGTGTGTGCAGGGTCTAGCCAGCGGGCTGGAGGCTCCAGCCCTCACATTTAACATAAAAGTGATCAACAACCCTTCACACTTTGGCTGATAGCTGGCGGCAGTTTCTGAAGACTTCCACATTCATCATTTCCCTTGATCTCCCCTTAGGGGAAGGTGGCCCTCCGTGCTTCAGCTGGGGGATCTCCATGAACTTTACCCCACTGTGCCTTCAGCTGAGAATCTCTGTGCCTCTAGACTTTCTTCTCCTGCCTGCTTCCCACATTCTAGCAAGAGTGCCCTTTCTAAACTGCAAATCTGCAAAATGGATCATGACATTTGCCTGCTTAAAGCCTTTCAATGGCAACAGCTAAACGGTTGGCATGGCATTCCAAGCCTATGTGATATGCCCCCACCTCACCTTAACTCTCCAGCATCAGTTCTGGCCACCCCTCTTACACATCCCAAGCTGTAGCCCCTAGTCACCTAGAAATAAGGGAAGGGAGGTGGACCGTCTCCATTCATCAAGTCTGTTCAGTGTCCTTGCCCCAGGAAGCCCTCTCACTGGCAAATTTGGCCCCTCTGTCTATGATGTTGCCATGCCCTTTGTATATAAGCACCATCATTTTCACCATTCTCTTCCCCTTCTTGTGATCATCTTGGCCACTGTGACATGTCAGGGACTGTGCTGGATACTTTTAAGATCATGATGTCATCCAAACAACCACACCAGAGGGATAGTGGTGAGGCCCAGAAAGGGCAAGAGATCTGTCTGGGGTTACATAGCAAGTTCTCTGCAGAGCTAGAACAACAGTTAGGGCTCCAGTGCTCTTTCTCTTGCCTTATAATCTCCACAAAGAGCAGAGGTGGTATAGCAGAAAGGCCTGGGAATCTAAGGATCCCAGGTGCAAATTGTTACTCTATCCCTGGCTAGCTATGGACTTTGGGTAAGTCATTTCCTCCCCTAAGCCTCAGTTTCCTTACCTGTAAAATAAGCCCTACCTCCCAGGGATATTGGGGTGATCAAATGAATTAGTACAGGTGCAAATGTGTTATAAGCTGTAGGGTGCAGTATGCTTTTATTTATTTATCTAGAGAAGAAGTCTTACTCTGTCACCCAGGCTGGAGCACAGTGGTGCAATCATAGTTCACTGCTGCCTTGAATTCCTGGGCTCGAGGCATCCTCCTACCTCAGCCTCCTGAGTAGCTGGGACTACAGGCACACCACCACTGTGCTTTGATAATTTTTAAATTATTTGTAGAGACGGGGGTCTTAGCATCTTGCCCAGGCTGATCTCGAACTCTTGGGCTCAAGCAGTCCTCCTGCCTTGGCCTCCCAAAGTGCTGGGATTACACAGTGTCTGGCTGTGGTGTGATTTTAATTGACTTACCTGAATAGCCATACTGCGGCTGGAGGTGATCTGTGGAAGATCTCTTTTCTTGAAGTGCTCTTGAGTGGAGGTCAAAAGACACTATTCGTCCTTTCGTTTTGAGAAAGGTCCCATTTCCCATGTTTTGAGAAAGGTCTTTCATTTTCTGTCCATTATAGCTGTCAAGCCCTGTCCAGAAAACCCTTCAGATCCAATGTATCTCCTTGAGCCTCCAGGATCTCTATTTATCTTGCTGCATTTTCTTCTTTTCAACTGTCAGAAGCTGGCAGGTCTTAAGTTAATAGAGCATCAGGACCATGTGTGGAAATAGCAGAAAAGAAGAGCTGGAAGAAAAAGGATGAGTCTCCGCCCCCACCCCCTGAACCTGACTCTGTAGATGTGGCATGTGGCAGGTTATTTTTCTAAAAGTTCCTCTGGTGATTCTGATATTGGTACAAGGACTTTGGGACAGGACAGAATACCTTGGAGTTGGAAGACTTTCCACACATGTTCTCATTAAACCCCTGAGCAGGCTTCTTAGGTGGTTGAATTTCCCCTCCACTTTACAGATGTAGAAACTGAGCTCAGAAGTGACTTATCCAGGATTGCAGCTGGGGCTGAAAACTGGTGCACGGACAGAACTCCAGCCATTCCTCTGCAGGGTGGAATTTTGTGCCTGGGCTTTGCTGGTGTCTCAGCAGTCAATGCATGACAGACGCTTCTCCCATCCTGCCAAATCAAATGCTTCCCTAAATATTTCTCTCCCACTCTTCCACCTCCATGCTTTTTCCCCTGCCTGGGATGCTTTTCTCAGTTCAATCTAGCAGCTGCAGTTTTCGCTGTCCTCCAAGCCCTGCCACCCAAGCCCTGCCACCCTGAACAAAGACATTTCCATTTCCCGCAGGTTCTCTTCCTTTGAGCCTAGAAACGCTTGGTCTGTGCCTCAGTACAGCTGTCTCTTCAGCCCTGCCTCCTGCCTCAGCCTGATGCTCCAACATCCCCAGCTGTTGTGGTTTCCTGTGGCTTCTGGCAGTTCCTTACCACCTCTGGGTCTTTGCTTTTCTTTGCGCCCACAGAAGTGCCCCTTGCCCTGCCCCATCTCTTATTATTCAAAATTCAGCTCAGGTATCGCTTCTTCCAGGAGGCCTTCCCTGACCTCCCCAACCCATAATTCTACTATTAGGGTCCTTCCTCTGTGATGCCAGGGAATACTGAGGATACCTCTGTAATGAACAAGATTGTTCATTTGTTCACCCATTCATTTATTATAGCAAGGTGCAGACTTTGGAGCCAAACCTCAGG